AGAACCAGTGCAGCGACAGAGAGGCCAAAAGGCCCAGCAGGCCAGACATTTAAACTTCCCCTGGGCGCAGCACCAAGAGCTGCAATTGGTCAGTTGGTCCCGTGCCCAGGGGAACGCCCCTAACTCCTGCCGCCATTGGTCCATTTGGCAGCAGGAAGATGACCCAGCCTGCAATAGGCTGGTTTCCCAGGGAGGCCCAGGGCCGGCCTGCAAAGCCACCCACCCAATAAGGGGGCGAAAGGACTTCCCAGCCCTACCTCGAGATGTTAGAGATGGAACGTAGGACCTCTTGCATGCCAACTCTACCACTAAGCTGTGGAATCAGTGCCCTCAAATGGAAATGATTGACTGGCCTTAAACATGACTCCTTGATTTTATACAGTGCATCAGAGCACCACCCTCTAATGTCGGAATGATATTGTTATGATAGAGTGGCCAGTTCCTTTGTTGGGGATATAGATCGCTTGATGTCTCTGTAAGAAAGCATTGACAATTGACAGCTATCACCTTAGGATTTGGAACATTGGTATTCTGATGGCGCACAGTTCTATTTCTCCATTCCATTTGAACCATGAGAAGCTATGAAGCAGTAGCAGTCGGCAAGGTTGCGGGGAGGGGAACTGTGCTGTTTATGTGATTTCCCAATACCAGAGTCACTGCTGGCTACCAAGAGGGAGAGTGGAGAGAAGAGGTGATGGTAGTAGTGCTTTAGTGACCTCCCGTCTGGACTACTGCAATGGCTGCCTTTTGAAGGAGGTATGGAAGCTGCAGCTAGCACAGAACCAGGTTGGTGAGTGAGGCAGCCTGAAAGTACTGCACTGGGTAGCAGTGAGCTACCTGGCCCAATTCAAGGTGTAAGTCATAACATACAAAGCCCTAAACAGCCTGGGACCCAAGTACCTAAAAGATTGCCTTTCCCAGTAGTCACCAACGCAGGCCCCACTGGTGGTGTTGACTAATGACATGGCCTTCTTGGTAGTGACTGTTTTCCCACATAGGGAGTGCTCCCATCCTCAGTGAAGTGCGTCTTCCTTCCCTCATTATTCATATTTAAGCAGAATTTAAAGCACTCAACCAAGCCTCTGGGGGCTGAAGATTATTTCTAGCAAACCTGAAATATTTGTTTTGAGAACATTTGGCTGGTTTCAAAAAAACAACAACAACACAACAACCAGTATTGTTTTGTTTTTTACCACCCTGGTGACAGCAATGTAGCTTTAATGTATATTTTCCAATAAGGGAAATGGACATCAGAGGCTGACTTGCTTGTTCAGCAAGTACACAACAAGTGAATGGATAATGGGCAAATTCTTAAGCTTATTCTGCAAAAATCTGGTGCAAGCCTCTCATCTTATTGCCAAGTGGTTCCTGAATATACACTGCTACCTCCAACTCTCTCTCTCTCCCCCACCCCCCACCCCCGCACACTTCTCATAATGATCTGGAGCCACTATTCTGATGTGTGGGAAGTATCCTAAGTAAACACCTTTCAGTAAACATTGAGTTCCTGTCCAAAAGGGGAGAGGAAGTCTAATCAGTCATCAGTATTTGGGATTGTGGCATAGATTTCTTGCAACCAGTATAGCTCCTTGGTTTGCATCCAGCAGTGGGAAGAATACTATGTTGGCTTGAACAACCAGTCTGAGCCAGACATGGAAAGATGCTTGGCAGCAGCCATGCACAAAATCAGATACTCCCCCTCCATCAAGACATTTCTCATCGTTTTTGCCTTAGTCAGATTTCCACTTTGCTGCACCAACCACTCCACCTCCAAACCTTGTCTGTCTTTGAGATTAGTTCCGCTAATTTTTGAAAGCTCCCAGTGTCGAAGCAGAATGGATCTGTCATGAACTCGGTGTCCAGACCCAAATATTCAAAACCTCCCATGAAAATTTTCCAGGAAATTCTAAAGCCAAACAGTATCATGTTTTCTGACAGAATCACGGAGAGTTTTTGCATAATGCTGCATATGCGGCCTTGAGTCTAGCTTTTCTTTTCCATTTGCCAACTCAAGCATCTCGACGAAAACGCGTAATGTGGTCAAGGTTGCGTGCCTTCCTTGTTCTTTATTCGCTTTCCCCTGCAGTTTCATATTCATCTTGGGTTTTCTCTTTATTTTTCTTCTGAGAGGCATGCTAAACCCAGCTGTGCTGCTTCGCTTACATCACATTTATTCAAAACAAAATTAAAATGTAAAAGAGCAATACCTTTTTAAAAAAATAATATTCTTGAAAAGAACAAGAGGCTGTTTTCATATTTTTGTTGTTTTCTGTCAGATGTTTCATTTGCTGAGTTGAACAAAGCAGGAACAGAGTATCAGAAGGATTCATTTATTTTGAAAAGAAAAGTTAAATACACAGCTGTTCATGAGGGAATCTTCTTCGGATGTATTCTGAACTTCACACATACGCATACATGTCCCACCTGAACTATTCCATGTTCCTGATGTTTACACACTCATTTCTATTTAGATATAATCAGTCTTGTTTTCTTGTTGATCTCTCTATCTTTACTGAATCCTATATGCTTCTCAAGCCTCTTTTATACAATACAGGAGGTACAGAGACCCTTAAGCTCTTCTCAGGTTCCTCTGCATGATATATTTAAAGCAGTATTATACCACTTTAAACAGTCACAGTTTCCCTCCAAAGAATCCCGGGAACTGTGGTGACGGAGCCAGCCGTCACAAATGGCGCAGTTTAGCATAAAATAAAGACACAGAGAGCCAGCAACATTTTCAGGATGGTATGAGCAGCTCCTTTCGAACTTCTCTCCTTTCCCGTAGCTTTTATTATCCTTTGTTCTCTCCTCTCGCATGGCCGTTTGCCAATGTCTCACATTACCTACATCCGGTCATGGCTTTAACCCACCCATCGCCATATAGGGTTATGCACTTAATACACTGCAAGGCACCGACATGCAGGTCACTGAGGTCAGCGAGGCACCAGGTGGCGCTACAAGCCTTTTCCATGACTTCCTGGCTCCCACATGCCCTCTTTCTTTATTTTATTAATCAGAGCCATATATATCAGTACCAATACAGTTATATCGAGCGCGATAGGCAACTCTTGTGAGGCCAGAAGCAGGCCGGCGGGAGAACGATGCAGTACATATAGAAATTAAAGAAGGAATACATTGTATACAGCAACACAAAATAATGCAAATAGCTACTATAATGATCACTAAAATCAATAAATGTCGAAGCCAACTTCCATCCGGAAGCCAAGAATATAAGAATTCTGATTCCAAGCTGCATGGTAGGCTTCCTTTCTAGTTTATTAGCCATGCACTGGTGTCACTCCTATAGCACTGAGATTGGTCACTGTATGTTCCTGTAAGAGAACAAGAGCTATTAAAAGTGAAATTCAATGTATATTGACAGTTTGGATATATGCCCCATGATTCTTTCCCTCTTTAATTTGAAAACAAATGGGGGCAGGCTCATGGAGGGTCAATTGTACTGGAGGCCAAAAAGTTTGCTTAGGGGATATAATATTAGTAAATTGAAAAGATCCATTGACAGGCACACCATGAAGCATTATGCCGGAATGACTGGCAAAGGGCGGCATGTGCATACACAACCAACATTTAGAAGCATGCAATAAACCGGTAAACATAATCATATCTTGTACAAAAATATTATTCCTCCATATCTTATGATAATTTTCTCCCCTAAAAGTCTTATTCAACAACGCTGTTCTTCTAGTTCGAAAGTGGCTGAGCCGTGGATACTGCCAGCCAGAGTAGGAAGCTGACAACAGCTGCTTGCCAGCCGATGAGGTGAAATATGGTGGTTTCAACTGGACTGGGTTGTCTGCTTCTCTTTTTTTTTTTCAGGTTAAGTAATTTTTATTAAGGTTTCGATCAAAAATTGAACAACAAAGAAAAAAAAACATAAAAAAGATACACAAATACACAATACAAATCCCAGAAAGAAAATAAAAAAAACACAAAAAGCAAGAATCAACAATAAAAAGAAACATAACAATTAAAAACAATATCTCTTTTCCATTTCCGTTTTTGAATTTACTTATTTTCTGGACTTCCTCATACCTCCCTCTTTTGTATTCCAATCCAAATTATTTGTCCAGCAATTTCTTTTCCACTTTTTTTAATCCCAATCTTTAATTTTAATATAATATAATTTTAATATAATATATAACTTCAACTTCTTTAAACCTAATCTTTGATCTTAACGTAATATAACATTGAAATTTTACCTCTTAATTATCAAATTTCCATTTCCTTAAACATCTTTAATCCTAATCTTTAATCTTAGTCTATCATTAACTTTAACCTGTACAGCTGGAAACCACTTATTTTCAGTCCAACATCACTCTAACATTCTTTAATTTTGCAATGTTTCTGAAGATAGTCTTTGAATTTCTTCCAATCTTCCTCCACCAACTCTTCTCCCTGGTCACGGATTCTATCAGTCATTTCCACCAGTTCCATATAGTCCATTAGTTTCATCTGCCATTCCTCCAGCGTGGGTTGTCTGCTTCTCTTCCTTGTATAACGGTGCAGCAAAGGATGGCAAGGCAGATGGTGAGGAAGGCAAACACTGCCAGATGCAGCTTGTGTGCAGCATCTCTAGGTGGCGCATGCGGAAAGGTTTCAATGCTTCACCCACAAAATGTTGACAAAGTGTAGGGGAGTTCCGCATGCCCTGAGGCAGGACAACCCACTGATATCGCTGGGTGGGCTGTGAATTGTTATATACTGGCAATGTAAAAGCAAACTGTTCCCTGTCTGCTGGAGCCAGTGGGATGAAGATGGTTCAATGTGGCCGAAAGTCAATTGTTCAGAAATAAGCTGTTCAGAACAAGCTGGTGCCGCTGCTGCGGATTTTTCTTTTGGTAGCGGCCACTGTTCTACCCCCACTGGGGTATCGGTGATCCTGGTTTGCCACACTGGAAACAAGTTGCATTGGTGGCTACAGGCTGGTTTTCATTTAGAGCTGCTGCCAGCAGATGAGCCTTGTGGGTGGCTGTACCTACAGACTGATAAATGTGAAGCATGGCTGCTGTGTCTGTGGCAGGATTGTGTATTATCGGTCGTAATGCAAGTTTACAATCCTCATTGGCATTTTCAAAGGCCAATTGTTTGATGATTATTTGTTTGGCTTCAGGATTTTCAATTTGGCGACTCACTGCTGTAAGCAGCCTGTCCATAAAGGAAGAATATGATTCTCTTGCCTCTTGCCTGATTGAACCCCACCTTGATTGAATACTGGGTTCTGGGATTTTTCTCATTGCTTGTTTAGCAGCAAGAGCGGTGTCCCTCAATAAGATTTGCAGCAGTGTGGCTTGCACTGAAGCTTGAACGAAGGGACCACGCCCCATCATGGCATCTATGACGTCTGCGAGGGTAATATTTGGATTATTTCCTCTGACTTGTTGTAACAAAGCCGGAGCATAAGCACGGCAGGCAGTTTCCCATTCGTGGGCAAACAAAACACCAGCTGATGGGGGTAACACTGTATGGGCCAAAAGCTTGATGTCCTCTGGAACCAAGAGCTGGGCTAATGTGGCTTCTAAAAGCGCCTGCGTATATGGGGCTTGGAGTCCATTGGCCTTTACTGACTGTTGCAGCTCTTTCAAGATCTTAAAGTCAAAAGGTTGGTGTTGGGCTTGGGTGCCTGCCGGGGCACCAGCAGGGGGGCACAATAACAGGGAATGCCATAGTATCCTGAATTAAGGAACAGGCAAGGACTGCACGTTGAAAAGGGGTAGCTGGTTCTGCCGCTGAAAGAGTAGGGTCATTTCCAGCCAGACCACGGTATTTTTGCAGGATTGGGTCCTCTGGTGAGGAACTGTAGTCCGGAGGTTTGGGGTCTGGGGCTGCTGGCAAAGCAAGTATCGGAACAGACGCTAACACAGCAGGCTGGACTAAAGAAGCTGGAGGTTGTGTTGGCAATGCAGCCATGGAGATATTTTTTGGTGATAAAGAGCCCATGGCGTAACGAACCTTGCACCATGCATTTAGAATCCGAAGACCAATGCTGGGGTGCCCATGAAAATGTGCCCCAATCTTGTCCCAATGTTTCAATTCCCAAGTCCCATCTGCAGGAAACCAGTGGCAATGCTCATCAATGGCCAGAATAAGCTGTATCAAATCACCCTCCGGAACTTCCAATTTGTTGGAGGAGAGGAGAAATTTTAAGTCTTTTAAAAATTTCTGTTGAGGAGTAGACAAAGAGCTGCCCATTTTTCTAAAATCAAGATAAAAAGGGATCGACCTCACCGGGATCTTTTTAAGATGTGAAGCGCTTGCAAACCTTGCCGGGCGTGGTGAGCCGATGATATGCGTTGCGTGGATAGAAAAACCTCACACGGTTTTCTTTTAAAAGCCTCAGACGGGGCACCACTTGACGGAGCCAGCCGTCACAAATGGCGCAGTTTAGCATAAAATAAAGACACAGAGAGCCAGCAATATTTTCAGAATGGTATGAGCAGCTCCTTTCAAACTTCTCTCCTCTCCCGTAGCTTTTATTATCCTTTGTTCTCTCCTCTCGCATGGCCGTTTGCCAATGTCTCACATTACCTACATCCGGTCATGGCTTTAACCCACCCATCGCCATATAGGGTTATGCACTTAATACACTGCAAGGCACGGACATGCAGGTCACCGAGGTCAGCGAGGCACCAGGTGGCGCTACAAGCCTTTTCCATGACTTCCTGGCTCCCACACTGTGGCTTGTTAAAGGTGCTGAGAGTTGTTTGGAGCTTCAATTCCCAGAGTGATTTAATAATCAGCCCCTCTTTCCAGGAAATTCTGGAAGCCTGTGTGGCTGTCCTACTCTCCTTATAGGATTTGACAAATTCATGGAGGATTAGGGTTGCCATATTTCAAAAAGTGAAAATCTTTTTCTAGTTTTGCCCAAACTAGTTTACTTTATAGAGCTTTTTTGGCAAAAGCACACACAAAAATTTGGTGCTTTGGAGCTATTTTTATGGAAAATCAACAAAAACAACACTGCTGACGTGGGTTGCCATACATCTGGATTTTCCTGACATTTTTCCACACAGACACTGCCTCCGACTGCAGTATTCTGGATATTTCTGGGAAATTCTGGACGTATGGCAACCCTATGGAGGAAAAGACTATCAGTGGCTACAAACCAGGATGAATATGCTCTACTTCCACTGTTGGAAGCAATGTGCCTCTGAATACTAGTTGCTGGGGAGAAGATTATCATTGGCAGCTGGATGGCCAGTGTGAGAACAGGATGCTGGGCCATTGGCCTGATCCAGCAGTTTCTTCTTCCATTATTGTGTGTGTATAAGAGAGAAACAGTGAGAGAAATGTGTCCCCACCTGCTTTTGGATGTGATCCCACCTGATACTGGCTTTGACCTACCACCACCAGTATGTGCCCCCACTTCCCAAACATTTTCACTTTAGGAAATGCAGTCCTTGACGGTGACATGTTTGCCCAATCCTGCGGTGCCGTCGTTTCCAATTTTAAAGTGGGGGTGATGGCAGACAAATGGATGTCTTGCATTTGAAACACATGCTTTTGAAACAGACAACGGGACTGACTGATGGGGCACACGATCCTGCCTTCCTAAATGACACTATGAGGGGGGAAACTCGGAAGAGACAAAAGAAATCAGTGCATAAAATCTGTAAACAAAATAAGTTTTCTAGTTTTTTATAGACTGAGTTCTAGAAATATAAAAAAATCCATAAAAATTAGGAATGGGTTAGAACTGCCTCAGAGGAAGTGAGGTATCTAATGAGACCCTTGGCATAATGTGGGTGATATGCACATAATGAATGTACAACGAACTCTGACTGATTCAAGTGGAGCAAAGATTTTATCCATGTGGTGAATTTAACTTTTTGTTTCTCTGTGTTTATTCTCTCTCTTTGTCTCTCTGGCCTACCTTAATTCTAAGAAATAACATTTCTCAATCCCCGCCTTTCTTTTTTAGCTACTGACTTATTGCCCCAGCTAAGGGTCTGTTTTTTTCCACAGGCAGCAGCAAATGAAAATGAAGCTTTCCCATCACATCCATTTATCATTCTCATTGCCAGAATTAAGATTAATTAGGGTTGTCAGCACACAAGTGAACTCACAAATGTCAATTTCCCCTTTTCACTTTTTCCCTGTCAAAATAAATTGTATAACCATCACTTAATACTAAGCTCTTGTTTCCCTAATAATAGGCTGAGCGTTGAAGCCAAAGGGCTACTAAATGGAACTTCAGGAAAACATGTGGAACTTGAGAGGGGTAAACATGGCTTGGAGAACACTATCTCTACCAGGCTGTTTCCAGGATCAGAAAATGCCCCCAGAGGGATTTATAAGTGGCTGCGTCACAAAGCAATCGTGGAGAACTACTACCCAGGGAATTGACATTCATAGCACCTGTGAGATAGTTAACATGCAACATCTTCCCACCTTTCCCCTTTGTGCAATTTCCTGCACCCAAGTTTCCACAGATTCCATTTACAGGGCAATATCTGATAGCTGGAAACGGATTCACAGCCCACTGTAAAAATGGTGATGGAGAACAGCCAGTCTCCATCTTTTGTAATTCGCTTATTTCATCAATGAAAAACTCCAGGTGAGTTTATGTGATCAGCTTTCAGGAACAATGTCACCATGTGGTATTTTACTGTTCCTCTCCTCTCCTCGTTACTCATTCCTTACAAAAGCACTTCAAGTAATCAAAAGCAAGATACAACCCTAGCAGGGGAAATTCTAACTTTTAAGAGCTGCGTTTCCTGTGTCAGCATTTCCTATGCCTATATTGTGGCGTGATATGAAGGGTGGAATTTTATGAATGATTGTCTAAATAGTTACCATCACCTAAAGCAAAGGGGGGGGTGTACAAAAGAATAGATTCCTGCACAGGGATCACTGTTCTGTTGCCACATGCAGAGAACAATGCTGCTCCCCCATATAGGTTGCTGTCGAATCTCTCGTAGTCTTTGGTCTTTGATGACTGGTTCAGACATGTCAATATTTGATGTTGCCATCCCTGACCGAGGAAAGTCAATGCTTCAATTTATGCCACAATGCAGCAACACTAGGATCCCGAAGGACATTCCTGAATAAGCACTTGAAAAAGAAAGGGAGGCAGAACAATCCAATGGTCCATTGTGCCAGTGACTTGTTAGCACTGGCCTTGTGTTGTGCCAGTTGGCATGTTCCTTTACCTTGGCATAAATTGGAGTATAGAATTGCACTGTAATTACTGTTAGCTTGCATTTTGCAGAATATAAAGCATTCACATGTCCTATTTCAACATATATTTACTAACCCTGTATTTTACAGGCAAGGTATATGAAATGACAACAAGGATGTTTGCTGTCTAAACTCTTCTCATAAATATTTCACCTCTTATTCCTACTTAAGACCATTTCCACAATGTAGTCCTAATCTAGTGATCCCATAGATCATCATACACTCTTCTGTAGGAAAAGGAGGAAAGAGATGTAAAAATTTTCCCATACATCTCATCTCCTCCCATAATGAAGGGTGTGCTCATCTTACCCTATCCCTCTACAAAGTAGTTTTGGATAGAAAACTGCATTTCACAGCATATGTGTCAGAAGGTTTAGTTTTGACTGTCAGCTCTTTACTTTCCCACAGTCAATGTTCCAACCCAAACTCCGAGATGTACACACACCCTGTCTTATAATCCCCCCATCAACTCTGAAGTCTGTGGTGTAGCAGTGGCACCAGCAGTGGTAATACCGGCAAGCCAAGTCTTTCAGTTTGTTGAAAACAAGCAGAGCTTCTCTCTCGCCACAGTCTGAGGCATTAATAATAATATTACTACTTTGTATTCATATGGTGCTTTCAAATGTTCAAAGCACTTCACATGCACACTCCAATTGCAGTCTTTACAACAATCTTGCAAAATGGGTAGTATTAGTGAGATGGAATGGGTACAGCTAAAAAATACACAGAATGGCATATTGTGTGAATGCCTGAGATGTACAGATATCATGCAAAAGGGCACTAAGGCTGTAATCTGCACTGTACATTTCCCAGTAGTCTATTCTGACCTTCAAAATCTCTGTTGTGTGTCAGTTTGCATTTCTTAGTGCAGAAAGTATTGGTCTGGTGTGTAGAGATCTTTCCTATTCTACTTACTTCAAGAGGGTTCTGGAAGCTTCTCTGTGTGAAAGAAACAAGCAGAAGGTTCATGATGTTTGGGTTATTCCTTCAGAGAAGCTGAGTAAAGCAGGTTTAAACTGATTCTCTTATCTTTTTTTGCCAAGGTCATGCTGACTATAAAAGGAAGGCCAGAAGGAACCGGGGTTTCACTTTCTCTTTCTATCTCTTTTCCTTCTGGTATGGTGTTCTGTATATAGTACACTTAGCGTTAAGTTTTTGGGCAGGGGTACCTTTACCTTTACCTTTAGTGTTAAGTTTAGTCTTATTACAGACGTACCTTGGAAGTTGAACGGAATCCGTTCCAGAAGTCCGTTCGACTTCCAAAACATTCAAAAACCAAAGCATGGCTTCTGATTGGCTGCAGGAAGCTCCTGTAGCCATTCGGAAGCTGTGGAAGCCCTGTCAGACGTTTGGCTTCCAAAAGAATGTTCGAAAGCCGGAACACTCACTTCCGGGTTTCAACCATTCAGGAGCTGATGTGTTTGGGAGGCAAGGAGTTCGAGA